ACCTGAGTTAGGCTGTTGGCAGAAAGGACAGAGACGTAGCTGATGGGCAGCTACAAATGGGTTGTAATTGTTTTAACCCATGAATAGAGACTAGAGAGCAGCAAACAGCCTATACTATTCTGACTTGTTCTAAGCTGTGTTATACAAATTGATCACTAGGAGGCGTCACTTCATCAACTAGTGCTGTGAAAAAGGCAGCTAGGCAGATGAACCTAAGAAGTCTGGATAGTTCTGTATCTAATTGAGTTAGTATTTAACCTTTTCAACCAGGCATTTTGGAGATTAGAATCTTCATAAAGTATTTCTGCTGAATAGTATTTTAAAATGAACTGAATGACTGAAAAATCTAAATTGCCAAGTGAATGTGGACCTTTGTGTGCTCGTGAGAGTGACCAAACATTTTTTTTCATAGATCAGTGGGGTTTTAGCTATTTTTTGAAATCTATTTGAACCTTGTTGTATCCCAGTGTTTAATAATACATTGCTGTGAGAGTCTTCTGTGTATTGCAGATTAGGGAGTTCATAGATTTTTAAATCTTATAATCAAGTTATAAGTGAAAGTAAACAGTTCTTAATAAACTACCAACTCTTTTAAGTAAAATGTTTTTAGGCCAGTATTGATTAGTGGACTTTTTAAACAAGTATTTGGCAATTTGCCAAGTAGGAGAAACTGCTATCAACTGTTCCATTATTGTTTCTCCATTCTTTTGATTACTCTTAACTAAAAACCAATAGGATGATAGTTTGTATAAATACCTCATAATATTAGATTGCATGTTGCTCAGAAAAGTTTATAGGACTTATTTTAGATAGCATCTATAGGATATAGCATTTAAGATCTAGAGAGAGGCCTAGCATGTGTAGTATTCCTAAAAGATTATACCAAATACATATTGGTATGGCAAGTTTGGGGAGTTTTTTCATAAAGTCCCTTACATTTTGAAAGTTTTTGAAAGGATGCGTTGTGAAAAATCTATCAAAAGCCTTTGAACACATTGATTTTCTTTTTATGACAGATACGGGCTTCTGATTCAGTTTAAGTTTCTACATATATTGAGTTACTCCTATGTGCCAAGAATTGTACAAAGTGATTGGGACACATCAAAATAATGGTCCTTGCCCTCCCTCTTGAAGATGAACTGAAATTATAGGCATAATAAATTATTCAGTAGCTGCTAGGAGATAATACTATGGGGAAAATTAAAGGGAATGGGGTGGTTGCAATTTTAGAGTGATTAGGATAGGCCTCACTGAGATGGCTTTTGAGCAGACTTGGATAAAGTGGGATGACCCTGACTGCTGTATTGAAAATAGATTGTAAGACAAGGGTAGAATTAGGCAAGTTAGGAAGGAGTCCATTGCAGTAATTCATGTGATTTGGATCAGGATGGTAATGAAAGAATTGGAGAGAGAATATATAGTTTGAAGACTTAATTGATGGAATTTCCTGGCTCAGTTTGTGGATTGGATATCAAGAGAAAGGAGTAAAGGATATACTACAGGGCAGGTATGCTTCTAAGTATTTGCAGTCCTGGGGCAAGAACGCAATGGAGACACAAATGGTTAAATATTTTAAAGCTTTGTTAAATGGAAATACGTTCGGTGCACCTGTCTTGACAAATGACATCTTCATAGGCACCTGAAAAGCCAGATTTAAAGTCCAGTGCCAGATCATTACTTACGAGGAGAGCTGATCCTCAGCCTGTCCTTCTCTTCCTATCCCTGTCTCTGAATTGTATGGCAAGGGGGACCTCCTGCCCATCTATATGGATACCGTAGCTTGCATGTTCAAAATCTGTCCACCCCCCCCCATACACTAGTGCACACACTGATGTAATGCATTCCTTGAACAGTTGAACACATTTAGGCAGGGTATTTGGAATCCCGAGTACCTAGAGTTGGTCTGGAATGAGTATGAACTCTAAATAGGCATGTCATTTTAACCTAAAGCTCAAGGCTCTGGATAAGGGCCTCTTGTTTTAAGAGCAATACTGCTCCAAGGTTCTTGGCCTGAGTAACTATACAGGTGAAATTGCCATCAACTGAGAAGGGGTTGCAGGTAAAGTAGATCAGGGTGAAGAGATGTTTGGGAGCATATAATATTTGAGTTCTTTATTAGATATCCAAATAGTACTGTAGAGAAGAGTAAAAAAATATTCAACCTTCAGTAACCCTGGCCTGAACATAACAAAACTGAAGGCTGTTAAAACTAAAAAAACTATTTAAAAAACCAAAACATAAAAAACAATGGCTTTTAACTCCAGATCCTTATTGAACCAGTTCCATCCAGGGACTCCATCCTATCCAGAATGCTATTTTTCAATTTTTTATTAGCAAAAGCTCTAGGAACCCTATGTTCCACAGCCTAAAATCCCCTTAGACTCTTCCTTCTAGTGAACTACTCCATGAATATCTTCACCAGTATGTGTTCTCTTGCCTGGCATGTTAATATTATTTCTTAAATGTGGTAGCCTTTGTTTTATTCTTTGTCAACAAGAAGTTGGATGTAAATTGGGGAGTCTGGCATTTTCCTAAAAATGAGACTGGATGAGACCAACAAGAGGAGAACTGAGGACAGCTCTCTGGGGCATTCTAATACTAAAAGATGGGGGGAAGAGGAGGAACCTGTAGAGGATACTGAGAGTGATTGGGGAGGTAGAAGGAAAATTAAAGAGCTATGTCCTTGAAGCCAAGTGAAGACCTGTTTCCAAGAGGGGAAGCTAATCAACTGTCAGATGCTGCTGATACACAATGTGATGCAGACAGCTGTAATATGCAATTCGAATCCACCTTTTCAAACTGGTTTACCAAAGCAGTGATTTCATTAGTTTGTTTTTGAAACTTTAGTAACTTGTGACATTTTGTAGGGTTTCATTATATCTACAGCTAAAGGTGTGTGGTATTTTGGGCAGAACAGTTATTTTTTTGTGAAATTTTTTCATTGTCTTTTTAAAACATGGCTAACATGGCCATTTTTGTGAATTGGATGTGACTGTTGAAAGAGCAAAGTTGTCACTGAACTACAAGATTCCTACACACCTGAGATCTCCAATAATGGATGCACTGTGGTCAGGGAAGGCACATTGTAGACTGACTTCTGAGCTGCTCACAAAGTCATTAAATCATTGTGAAATATCCAGGTGGAAATCGGGTGGGAAAGTATCTAGTTGTAAAATAAGTGCTGGTTTTTGAAATTTGAAAATTGTGCTGGTTTCTGAAAACTTTGAATTAATTTAGAATGCATCTGCTGCATCTTGATTAACTGCAGGTTAGATAACACTGAACATATTTTCTCTTAAGAAAATGGCTTGCACCTCAAGATTACATTTTAGTTTTTTACCCAGTCAAGTTTGTATTGTATCATTTTTCCGCATGAAATGTCTTTCTCAACTACACGTGCCCTCAGAGTGAGTTGCACACTGTCCTTTCCACGTAAGCTGAAGAATGGCATTCTGTTAAAAGATGAACAGCTGGTCATGTAGAAATTCTCTGGAATGCTCACTTGTCCCACGAAAACAGCGAGAGAACTGAGATGTTAGGTGCAGGGTTTGTCACTGGTATATAGAATTGTTCATTTTTTAAAACAATCTTACTAGAAATTTTTATGTGATTTTAATAATTGCCTTTCTCCATAAAAAACTGCTAATCCATTAACAATTTGAAGGTTCTCAGAGCCTACCAAGTGCAGTTCAGTCAGATTCAGGACTGTGCTGGAATTGTCCCATTTGCTAAGACATTGTTTCTTATAAGATTCAGGACCCTCCTGTGTTTAAAAGTTCTGTGTTTTCAATTACCTTGGAGTTCAGTTCGAATTTTTCAGCATGACACAAAGGATTTGACTCTTGCTCCCCAAGCTCCTCGCTCATTTCTTTGCTTGTTGAATTCTTTGTTTCAGCCAAAGTAAACTAGCAGATGAGCGAAGTCCTCCTTTCTTGGGCACAAGAAGCAGTCTTTCCTCTTCCTTCGGCCAACTCTGGTTTATTTCTTCTTCGTGTGTTTCTTCGTATTCTCGGGGTCGGTACACAGGGCTCTCTAGTGGATGAATTTCCCCACCAACAGGTTTGGTTTCGGTTTGTGCTCTTGATTCTGCCTTGTTTCCCAGAATATCTACAGAATTTTTTAAGATGCGAGCGTAGTAGGAGGGAGCTAGGGGCGAGTACAGCATTACCTTCCCCAGGTCACAGATGAATGAGATTACAAAACCGATCTGGCCCGTTAGGCGTTTCCAAAGAGAGACCCGCGGAGGCCATTCGGCTGTTTGGAGGGCTAAGCTGTGCCTTAAAGTGTGAGGTCTCTCGCTGGACATTCCCGGGATCTGTACCTGCCGTTGAGTTACTGTTGTGAGATGTTGTAGGCTGTGCGGATGGGTCAAGAGGGAATCGAGAGAGCTTGTGTCCCGGGTGAAGATAGGCTAGTGCCAGAGCTCCGGGGTCGAGAAAGGGAAGGTGAGACGTTCTCTGAAGTGGGTCACCCCTCTCTACTGGCGCTTCCAAACGGGACAGACGGTAGCGCTCTTGCCTTGATTTAACAATCGCCCTCTCTGCTCCAAGAAGAGCTAATGACTGGAAGCATACATGAGTGTAGACACTGTGTCCTCTCGGCCTTTGTGCCCTCAGATGTTTACATAGGGTCTCGGAGCACATCGCGAATCCCCGGGGCTGCTTCCCGAGGACAGCGAGACAGTTTGGCATTCCAGGCCCTGCCTGGTAGCCGTACCCACCCTCGCAGCCCCCGTCCTCAATGAGACTGGTAGAGAGCCTGCCGGCCGGGGATAACCGTAGCAGTAGGATGGTCTCTCGGCGCCCTCTGAGCGTCGGCATTTGTCGCCGGGCAGCTGGGGCGCCCTCGGCTGTCGCCCCAGGCGGAGGAGAGGAGTTTCCGGGGCTCCGGTGCCTCGCAGCCCGCGCGGGGAAGGAGCACGGAAGCGAGTGGGCGGCGAGAGGCGGAGCGAGGGATGCGGGGGGCGTGGACGCGGCGGGCTTTGGAAAGGCCCCAAGTTAATGAGGCGTGCGCCGGCGGCAGAGCGCCTTTCCGAGCTGGGCTTTCCCCCGCGGTGCGGGCGCCAGGAGCCGCCTTTTCCGCTGGGTGTCACTCGGGGGTGGGGGGGATGGCCCATTCAAAAGCGCCGCGAGGGGGCCCGGCCAGTGGCCTTCAGTGAGCGCTCGCAAGAGGACGGCAGAGGCCCGGAGGCTCGCAGCTCCGGGACCTTGTGGCGCCTCAGGACGCGGCTGCCCGCTTGCCCGGACCTCGAGCCGCCGCCTCCACCGCCGCCGCTCTGCTTCCTGCGTGTTAGCCTCCTCTGCGCGCTCCGGGCGGGCGGCCGCGGGAGCCGCTGGGGCGAGGACGGCGCGCGGCTGCTGCTGCTGCCCCCGGCCCGGGCGGCTGGAAGTGGAGAGGCCGAGCCGAGCGGCGCCCCTCCCTATGCCGGGAGGATGTTGGAGAGCAGTGGCTGCAAAGCGCTGAAGGAGGGTGTGTTGGAGAAGCGCAGCGACGGGTTGCTGCAGCTCTGGAAGAAAAAGTGCTGCATCCTCACTGAGGAGGGGCTGCTGCTTATCCCGCCCAAGCAGCTGCAACACCAGCAGCAGCAACAGCCTGGGCAGGGGCCGGCCGAACCGTCCCAACCGGGAGGGCCCGCCGTGGCCAGCCTCGAGCCGCCGGTCAAGCTCAAGGAATTACACTTTTCCAACATGAAGACCGTGGACTGCGTGGAGCGCAAGGGCAAGTACATGTACTTCACTGTGGTGATGGCCGAGGGCAAGGAGATCGACTTTCGGTGCCCGCAGGACCAGGGCTGGAACGCCGAGATCACGCTGCAGATGGTGCAGTACAAGAATCGTCAGGCTATCCTGGCGGTCAAGTCCACACGGCAGAAGCAGCAGCACCTGGTCCAGCAGCAGCCCCCGCAGCCGCAGCTTCAACCCCAACCCCAGCCTCAGCCCCAGCCCCAGTCACAGTCTCAGCCGCAGCCCCATGCCAAGCCCCAGCCCCAGCCTCAGCAACTCCACCCGTATCCGCACCCGCACCCGCACCCGCACCCGCACCCACACCAACTACCGCACTCGCACCAACAGCCGCTCTCGCAGCCGCACGGCCACAGGCTTCTCCGCAGCACCTCCAACTCGGCCTGAAGGGGGCAGCACCCGGGCCAGACAAGGTAAGGTCCCGGCAACTCGGGCTACCAAGGGCCTTTCCGAGGAGGAGGTCTCGCGGGCTGTTGGGAGGAGTAGGAAGCCTAATTCACGGGTGTGGTGCTTGGAGGGGAAAATGAGAAGTTACTCCAAGTTTCTGGAGATGTAGAAAGAAGGGAAGCAAGCCGGAGGTAGGAGAGGCCGGGCAGAGAGGGGAGGATGAAGGAGCTCGGGTTAGGCTGGGCGGCCTCGCGGACCGCCTCCCGCCCACCCTGGCCCGCGCGGGTCCGGTGGTGCGCCGCCCAGCGACGCCGCTGGCTCTGTTCGTGTCACCAGCGCCGCTCGAGTGTGGACACTCGAGGGAGCGACCCCGGGGTCTTTCTGAGCGCGCTTTGTCCGCCGGACTGGCCTGAAGAGAGCTGGGTTTTGGAGGATTCTGAGCCAATGACTTAATTGCCTGTCATTTCTTTCCAGGTTTTGAGGACTCGAGGAAGTGGGACGAGCACCTTTCTGTTGTCTTCACTTGAATCGAAAGCAAAAGTCTCCCCGCCCCGCACCAGATCAAGTAGTTTGGACATCACCCTATTGATAACTTGAGATTCCTCTTAGTTTTCTGCATACTCTTCATCACAATGCGGGAAACGGTTTCAGTCCAGAAGGCTTTATTTATGAACCTTTGAAAGGATCTTCCAGTATGGTGGACCTTCTAGGAGCAATGATGTACTGTAATTTTATTTTAATGTATTTTGATTTATGATTATTTATTAGTTTTTTTTTAAATGCTTGTTTTAAGACATTTCTGAATGTAGGCCATTTTCCAAAAAAGAAACTTTATTTTCAAAAACCTATTCCCTAGTAAATTCTAATCTTGGAAAAGGAAAAAAAAAAAAGTAGAAGGGCGGTGGAGGGGAAAACATTAAGAATTCATTCATTATTCCTAGGGCATTTTCAGAAGGTCTGACACTTTCATTGTTATGCCAGGTGGTTGAAATTAAACTCTGTGATATTACTTCTTTTTTTTTGAGATTTTTTTTTCTTAGACATATATTTTCTGTAGAAGTTTAAAAAGCTAAATGTTCAGAGTTGTATAACTATGAAAATCTAATTGCTTTTCTAAAAGGAAATTCGTAGTAATGGTGTCTAATTCCAAATATTTAATACATAACCCAACTGATGGCAGGATGAACATACCATGAATATATGGTAGGGCTGGTGTAATGCAGGAAGAGCCTTGCTTATAACATCCGTTTGAAGGGACTAATAAGGAGATTTCTATGATTTCTGAGTATCAATGCACTAGGCGTTTCAAAAAACACAGTGGGGGGAAAAGAGAACCATTCAGTTTGTTTGAGAGAACATTTGTGCTCTTATCCACACTAGAGATTACCCTTCTCCAGCTTTGCATACTCTACTTGAACCACATTTTCTGACCCTTTTACTGTATTCTAGAAATATACTCTAGAATCTCATAGTTTAAAATACAGTTTGTAAATATTTTGAAGGACTAGGAGTCATAGCTTTTTTGTATTTGTACTGAAAATAATGTTGATGACAGAAACCAACTGTTTTGCTTTTTATTGCTCTGTGAGAAACTTGAGGGTTCTATGTTTTCCAGTTAGGTTAACTAAACTCAGAAATTGAAAAGGGAAGGACTGGATAAACACTGGATTTTCAGTGAGAAAACAACCCAGTCTTGTTTTAGCATCTACTTGTTCAGGAGTCTGAGGGGCGGGGTGGAGGGGGGAGCATGTGCTTTTTAAAGGTGGAACAAACCGTCTTCTGTGTCAAATCAAAAGGATGGTCAAAATCCACAAGGCAGATGCTACTTAAGCTTAAAAAGAGCCATAGTTGATAACAAATCCTCTTGGGGCTGAAAATCACTTCCTATCTGCGTGGCTTTACTGACGATCTCTGTTTTCCATTCTCTTTCCCACAAAGTCTTGATAGTATTTTTCCAGCATCCAAATGGGAATGGTCAGTATTAGGCTATTGCTAAGTTAGGTAGTACAGAAACAAAAATAGAATTTCATGCTAGAGATGTCTTTATTCTCCTTCCACCTAGAAAGGAATTTAGATCTAATTACTTCTTAGTGCAATATTTAAATGACGAAATTTTGAGATCACAACCCTAATCCGCAAAGTTGTGGGGAAAAACGAAAACTCAGGCAAATGGCAAGCAAAACTTAAGGGACTCCCACTTCCAGTGGCTAAGACACAGCTATGAAAATATGCTGCAAAGGGCAGAAGCATATATATACACACACATATATGTATATATGATGGGCAGTTCCGACAGCAAAGCTGAGGAGTTCTGAAGTATGGTTTGGCCTCTCTGAGACTACTGCTGTGCTTTTTAGATAATGTCTCATTGTATTGTTGTTTTAAAAATGCAGATCATAACATGATCTTCTCTGATTAAACCATAGTTTTTTCTTTCAAGTTTTTGTGCTATAAAAGTAAAATCCATACCAAAATTTTTTTTTTTAAGATTTTGTTTATTTATTTGACAGAGAGACTGCGAGAGAGGGAACACAAGCAGGGGGAGTGGGAGAGGGAGAAGCAGGCTTCCCACCAGGCAGGGAGCCCAATGTGGGGCTCGATCCCAGGACCCTGGGATCATGACCTGAGCTGAAGGCAGACACTTAATGACTGAGCCACCCAGGCGCCCATACCAAATATTTTTAAAATGAAGATTCATGTGGGCTTTTAAAAGATACTTGTATGTTGTTAGCTGACATATAGGCTAGGTAGTGTTGTTCAAAAAAATTTGCCCAGGCTCCCTCCTGGCTGCTGAAAATTTTTTTCCTGCCCCCACCCCCCATGGCTGTGGTTGTTATTGGGGCCACCAGAATCATGGTTACCTTGTCTTGTCTTTCCACAGCCCTTATTTCTTGGTCTGCTGTGATATTTACATTGAGTTGACCCTCTTAGTGACTCTCTAGTCTGAACCCCTCTTAGCATTTACCTGTGAAACCTCAGAAATTAGAAAGGAGAGAAATAGGATGTTTTTGTTGTTTGACACTTTGAAATGATTATGGCTGAATCATTTTTTCAGGACAGCAACAACAAAAAGCATGCTTACTTTTTGCAAACTCAACAAAACAAAATATAAATGCAAATCATTTAATGTGTCAATGCCCAAATTCTACCATATTCTGTAAGAAAATGATACGAACCACCTAAGGTATTTTGAGGCCTGACAAATCATGGAAAAAGGTAAAAATGATTCTTTCAGTCCAAGAAAAGGAAAAAGGAAAGGACAGGTCCAATAGAAAATGTACCCCTTAAATAAACACAATGTAAAGAGTTGGAAAAGGAATGGAAGAAGACATGAAAAGGAATGTCCCCATCTGGAAACAGCTTTTGTCCTTGAACTTGTGTTGACACCAAGCCTTGGACACAGTAAGCTCAATCACTATTTGTTGGGACAAATGAATGAAAGAAGAAAAAATATGTAGCTCCCAGTATCCAGGAGGTGCTTTCTCTTGCCTCACACAGTGCTTCCTTCACTGGCTTTCATGTCGTTCCTGAGAACAAGTACCACGGGCAGGCTAAGCCTCATGACGAAGCTCCTTAGACAGACTTTCTTAGCAGAAATGCACATGGATCTGCGTGTGCCCTACAGGGAGTGCTGAGGTCAGAGAGTAAATGGCTATAAAGGGCCCTTTCAAAGTGAGCGTTTCCGTCATAGAGGAAACGGATTCTCTCATCATGTAGAAATCAACCCGACTTTATAATTTCATTTAACGTGTTTTTTCCGATGGAGGTTAAAACAACCAAAAAGCAACTCATTGCTTAAAGGAGCTCCCTTCCCATGTGAACACCACGAGGAATGCTTGCTTTGACTCTCCTGCTCTCATACACCAACACTCGGTTTCTCTTAAAGGCCCCTCACTTTAAATCTGACACTACACGAGTTTGTTGCCAGTGTGTGAGTTCAAGCACATTGCTTGTTTTCTGTCCCCAGGGAAAGCGACTCGGTTTTCGTTGGGCTCCAGTCATTTGCAGTGTCCTGGGCAGGGGCAGGCCGAGGAGAGGTTTTGAGACTTGAGTGAGACGGGAACAATCCCATGGAGCTCAGAGCTTTGTAGGTGAAAATGGGCCTGGGAGTATTCCTTCTTCTCTTTTGCAAATGTCAAGCTAATTTGCTTTTGCTTTACCAATAAACTGCCCTCAGCCACAGCCTGAAATTTAAACTTGGGATTATAGAGCTTGATATTGAGTATATCAGCCATTCTTTCAAGAGAAATATACATGTTTACCTAAAGCAACCTAATATATATTAATTGTGGAATTCTGTTGAATGGGTTTTAAAGATCTGTTTTCTAAATTCTTGACACAATTCGAAGGGTGACTTTTTGATCTGCAGTGTTGAACAGCCAATCTAGATTTACAGAAGATTGGATGACAAAGGGGTCTGTGACTTTGTTGGCTGGACATTTGCCAAATGGAGGATAGAATCCAGCAGAGTTTTCCTGGCAGGGCACAATTGTCCAGTGAAGGCAGCTGAAGGACTCTGGAAGCATCTGCATAAACGCTGGTGAGACCTACAGCAACCTGCTCTAAAGTGACCTGTCGGTGATCAGTTAGGCATTGGGGAAGTTTTAATAATAGGTGGTCCTTCTGGATCACTGTATTTATTTTGAGAAGAAAGATAAAACTATTGTCCATTACATTCCACCATCAGTCTTCTGCTTAGTTTTAGAATATGCAAATGTTGGCTTCTGAAAACCAAGCATCACCAGGTACCAAATGCTTTAGAGAATGTCACATTTGTGAACTTAATAGTGTGGTCATAATTTGTGTAAATATGTCTCAAATGATTTTGGAGAGATGTGATTTATTTTTCATATTTTCAAAATGCATTCCATTTCAAATAAAGTATCCATTGTGATGACCAACCTGTGCCCCTTTTGGAGGCCTTGTTTACATGGCATGTACAATATGCGTTCCAGTGGGAGAAAGGTTCTAGAGGGCTTGGGTGTTATAAAGGCCATTGGCCATTCTGGGAAGAAAAGGACCATTTTTGAGGTTGGGAAATTTTTTTTAAGACTTATTTATTTATTTATTTATTTTGGAGGGGGTGTTTGCGGGGGTGGGGCAGAGGGAGAGAGAAAATCTCAAGCAGACACTGAGCTGAGCGTGGAGCCCCACGCGGGGTTTGATCTCACAACCCTAAGATCACAACCTGAGCCAAAATCAAGAGTCGGGTGCTTAACCAACTGAACCACCCAGGTGTCTCAGCTGGGAATTTTTAATATAGAAATTCACTAAGATCTTTTGGTGAAATAATTAGCTTTCAGATTGCTAATGAATTTGAGTTGAATTTTCCATAGCACCCCAGAGGATGAGAAATGGTCCATAGTGATTTGCTTGAAGGCAGTTCCCTCTGAGTTCCTGACAGATTAGTTCTCAGTCTCTTGAGAGCATAAAGCCTCGACTCTGAGAGAATCATTCTTCAAACAGGTTATTTGTAAAGCTTCCTGTTTTGTGTTGAGAGCAGAAGAGAGACTTGATTCTTTAAAGGAAAATAATATAACTTTACTCTTACAATCTCCAGTGGCATCTAAAAGACATTATATCTCAAAAGACTTTCAAATGGGGAATTTGAAGGCAATTTTTTTTTGTCCTTTGGCATAGTCTTACAGTGATAGCTTTATTACTCTGCCGTTTCTTTGTTTTTTAAAGAAGAAATGAAAAACGAGAAGACAAGTTACTGCCATTGCAAGGGGATGTCAGGGGTACCGTGTGAAAAGCGGGTAAAGCCGGGTTGGAAGGACTTCAGAGTCCTAGTGCGTAGGTTCAAGCCTGGGTTCTATCACTTACCAGATAGGTAGATCTTGCATGTCTTAACCTCTTAGAAAACCCAATTTCCTTCTCTGTTAAATTGTTAACAGAAGTTCCTACCTTAGGGTTATTGAGAAGATTTAGTAAGTTAGCACACATCAAGGTGCTTAGAAGCTCCCTGCATACAGCAGCTAAACTGGCTTGGGAATCATTATAGCCATA